TTGATAGAAAATTGATATGATTGTGGACTAAGATATCAAAATTTAGAGGCGGCAAAAATTGAATAGCCTACGGGCGGCAAATCTATAAATCCGCCACTGACTTGTGTTACTTAACTTTTTAGCTTTTTCGTGGGTCGCGACATAAAAATGGTAGAAAAACGATGCTCTAATCATTCTAACTAATGTTGATTTTTAAATTGGGCTACTTTTTAGCGGCGGTAAATTAGACTATGAATTCTATTCTATGAATAGCGGATTCCTCAATATTTTTATAAAAAATAAAGGACTAACCACTAGTCCCCTAGTAGAAGAAAGTAATTTAATATTACTTTCTTCCAAAGCCGACATTCATCAAAATTAGTTTCAAAGCTTGTTTTTCCTTATATAGCTCTCTCTATACAGTGGTTAAAAGTTGTTTACCTTAAGTGTTTTAGGTTAGGTCGATCTTGTTTACATTTACATAATAACGAGGTTTATATTTTTTTCATTGACCTTAATATATCGAAGGTACCTAAATAGTATAATGTGTTTAACCATATAGATAGTGAGTGAAAAGGGTAATCCCTATAAAAAATAGAGACTCTGTTTTATAAAGAACTGATGGCAAACGAGCAGGAGGCTCACCTTATGTTACGTGATACCTCCGCCCATGCACACACTCAATGCCAAAGGGCTCGCGGGAGCGTTGCCGGCCTTTAAATAATGGGTACACTCTTTTCATGAAATAAATAAAATAAATCAGTTGCGTTACAACCTTTTTAAGACCGGGCCTCAGATTTCTGAATCTATTTTCATGATCATTTGGCTTATAAAGTAAGTAGGTGAGCAAGTAGGTGATTAGCCTCCTGTGCCTGACACACGCCGTCGACTTTTTGGGTCTAAGTCAAGCCGGGTTTCCTCACGATGTTTTCATTCACGGATCGAACGAATGTTAAATGCACACATAGAAAGAAAGTCCACTGGTGCACAGCCGGGGACCGAACCTACAACCTCAGGGATGAGAGTCGCACGCTGAAGCCGCTAAGCCAACACTGGTCTACTCTTTTCTTGAAGGACTATAAAAAATAGTATAAATACTAGATTTATTTTCGCTTTTGGTTTAACGCTGAGAAAGAGTTTGTCCAAACTCGATATATAATACATTGATATGTATTTAGAGTTCCGTTGTTAATTTATATAATTTAACAACGGAACTCTAAATAAACTAAATGTGTAACTTAATTTTTAAACGGTTATATTAACAAACCTCGTACAAATTCATCATTATATATTTAACTACCAGAAGGGCCGGACAATGTTGTGGTTACTTATAATTTTTGCATTATGCTGTGTCTATATATATTTGTCTATCAAAATGTACCCTGGGGATATGCCAGTATATCCCGGCCGGGTACCAATTTTGGGCAACATCTCTTTGCTCTTGGGAGATTCAATTGGTATGTCTTTTATTACAATTTTTGATTAATAAAAATAGATAGAACAGGTTTTTTATAAAAAAAGAATACTTGTGTGGTGAAGGATACGATATGGACCAATTAATTATTGGCGACGTGTATAGGGTACAAAAAGATTACCTACACTTGGCAAAAGTTTTCTGCCCTGTGTACACCGTCGACTTCTTGGGACTAAGTCAAGCCGGGTTACAGGTGGGTACAGGACTTCATGCAAACCATGAACCACCTTTATATCTCTCAAGTTAGCTTAGTTGAAATTTTATTTATTTATTTAATTTTTTTTCAGATTCATGGCATTACATAAAGAAATTGACTGAATACACATACAATAATGGACATGTTTCCGTTGTTTACGCAGGAATTATGCCAATTTATCGTAAGTATCATAATTGAGACCTTTTAACTGACTTTTTTTGTAGTTTACAATAAGACGCTTATGATATTTTTAGGTATTTATTATAAGGAATGAATGAAAGACACTCATTCACTTCTTGTGTATTTAAAATAATTTCACCCACAAGATGCTTCTGTAGCAGCGTTGCCAGATTTCTTTTTAGTCAAGTCGGGATTTTGGCACTTTTAAAGTGAAAAAAGCGGGATTCATTTGTCGAAAGCGGGACATAGTAAAAAAAATTAAATAATCAGAAGTTTTTAAATATTTATGTTTTTGTTAGACAGCGAAAATAGTCACAGAAAATGTATTTAAATCAGATTAAACCTATCGTTAAATAGTTCTTATTCATCTTCTGATGAAAAAACAAAAAAATCCAAATTAAAAAAGTTTTATTTATTAGAAAAATATAGCGTTTCAAACAATACTCTGAAGAGTGAGTGTTTCAAATTGCAACTTACAATAAGACAGTAACTATTTATAAGAATTACTTATTCATATTATTTCTATGAAGATATAAAATCTTTAAAAGTTTCATTTTTCTCTGTAAAAAAGACGAAGAACTCTTCACAGGATAGCTGCAGATTAAACTTGATGAGTAACTCTGATTTCATTAAATTTACGAAGTATTTCAAAAAGAAGGCGTTTTGGAAAGCAGTTTGATGGTAGGATACTTAATATAAAGTTTGAAGATAATCCTGGTATTTTTTTTTGGATACTGTTGAAAGAATTGGTACTATTATTGTGCGGTGGTGGTAGTACACACTTCTTATTGCCATCGAGTTATTCCCGAAAAGCGGGACTTAGCCTGTCCCGCGCGGGACATTTCATTTTGAGTTAAAAATCGGGACGTCCCGCCAAAATCGGGACGTCTGGCAACGCTGTTCTGTAGCTTACGGAGTTATTTATGCTTCAATTCTAATAATGTATAACTTGTAATCGATAACTTGTTGGCCATAAAGTCGTGGATCAAACGCTAATAGGAGATAGATGAGGTCATCAGCTGCAAAATTTGTTCTACGGGAGGTCTCTAAGAGACTGCAGTTATAATTTATTTTGCGTTTTTATAAGAAAATTGACTTTTTTTACTAATTCTTATTGAAATTCGAAAAAATCTACAAATAATCTATCATAAATCCGAATCGTTGTTGTTGTTTTTTCGTCCTAGAAAGATATTAGAGCGACTCATGGCCATGTGTAATACCTTTTCAAAATCCCTATTAAATGCGCCAAAACTTGTGATACAGGGTCACTTTTCGGTAAAGTTTTTTTTTTCACTATGAGGTCTGACGTAAACAAAAAGTTATGATTTGAGAAATTTTTATATCGTATAACTTAATATTATCTTCAATAAACTCAATAAACAACTATAAATAGTATGTCTAACGCAAGAACTCATCAGTACCAATCTAGTGGATATTATGAAAAAGCCTGTATCTTGCCTCTATGTTGTTTTTTTTTAATTTTAATGAGAATTAGTAAAAAAAATCAATTTTCTTATAAAAAAGGAAATAAATTATAATAAATTATTTATAACTCTGCAGGGGTTGAGCTTAGGGACCTCCCGTAGAACAATTTTTTGCAGCTGATGACCTCATCTATCCCCTAGTTGCGTTTGATCCACGACTTTTTGACCACCCTGTAGATCAATGTTTTATTTATTTAATAATTAATATGTGCGCATGTTTTGTTATTTAAACAAATTATTACTTATTAGTCGACTCATTAGTATATTTTTTCAGTTATTACGGATCCGGATGATTGCTACAAGGTGCTGACGACGTGCTTAGAAAGGCCTGGCTTTGCGAATAAGTTTCTAAAACAATTCCTTGGGAATGGTCTACTGACTGGACCAGGTATGTCACCAGTATAAAACCGAAAGTTTATTTTCAATTTTCCTCGCATTTATAGCAGACCTCACCAAAAAAAATAAGGGTGCGTGTACTTATGTACGCGCGTAAGAAGTTATACTTCTTTGGCATTATTAAAAATAGTTTGGCTTTGTTCCACCTCCAGTTTTTGATGTTTCACAGCGATAAGATGACAACTCTTTTTTGTATTCAATTTAGTGCACTTACACTGATTCATCAATTGTTTTTTGTCTCTTGTCCTTATATTTGCTAGAGAATGTTTTGATTAAACAATGTGGTAATTTTTTTAATCAAAACATTACTCGATAATAATAATACAAACTGATAGTTAACCTCAATTGTAATGAAGCACTTAGGAAGGTTGATGAGCACAGTTTTTTCACAAATATTAATTAGTATTGGTTTAAATATTCAATTTAAATCACTTCTGATTATATATAATTCAAAAAGCATTGCTAAATTTCTTTGAAAAAATAATTAAAACTCCTTTATTTGTTTAAAAGGTAAATGACAAAGGTCATTCAAAATTCTTGGCATACGAACTTCACGCATATTCTATTTCTTTTTACTTGTAGATTGTCTTATTCCTATCTCGCTCGCGCACGCTATAATCACACTCCTAATTTTGTGTCACGGTGCGCGCGCATCGTAAAATTTCACTCTCATAAATTTTTCATAACGCGCCTAAAGAAGTATAACTTCAAAAATGAAGATCAAATTTCTGCGTTCGTTTCATTCACATTATTTTAACAGCCGTCAATGTTGTCCTTGGAAATTACTTGGGAAACGTGTAGCGTATCTAAGTGAAATAACTACTCTCAACTCTCAATTTCCCATTTCTAGTCCATTCCATCTATTAATATTTAGATTGGATATATTTTTTAAACGTTAATACCATAAGACATATTGTCGTCAGAATTATAACTATCATATAATATAACGTAGATACTTAAAATAGTAGGAATATTTTAAGTATGAAAACATAACCGTCAACAGTGTATTTAAAATAAAAAAAATCGTTAATTATTCTAATATCATTTGTATTAACTAACACATTATAAAAATTCCCTAATGCTCATTAACTTTTTTTTAATGTACTTATTGTACCTACCACTTCTTTCGTATGCCATGCAGAAGTTCATTATCGAAATATTACGACAAATATTGTTCACTGTTCAGAACAGTATTTTACAAACTAAGCCGAATGCGAAATATTTATAAGACGAAGCCTGATAAAACTTTACGATTATATATCCAACAATTGTTTAAATTTTTAGAGGCTATTTGGAAGCAACACCGTAAGTTAATAAACCCAGCCTTCAATCAACAAGTAGTGGACAGCTTTATGGGAATTTTTAATACTCAGAGTCGACGTTTGGTTGAAACATTGAAAAACCATGTGGGCAAGGGACAATTCGACCATCATGACTATTTGGAGAAAACCGCCTTGGAGACTATTTCTTGTTAGTATAGTAATTAAGTAATAACACTGTGTATATTGAAGTTTAAGCGAAGTAGGATTTTGGTTTATTTGACTGTTTTTAAACCGAATTGTTTTTGTTTAACATATGTTACTTGTTTAAATATATTCGTTGCATAATAATACGTAATATTCTTCTACAAATGCCACACTATACAATCAATCTAAAACTCGATTATCCTAATTTAACTTCGATAGGTCTACAACGCTCGGCCAAAATTTAATTTAGTAGATACGCCATGGATATAAATTTAAAACATATGCAGAATAATCACATATAATTTTATATTCATTATCCATGTCTGTGTGTAATATTAATAGAAATAAGAATGTTTAAAATATACCTAGCCCATTTTACTGGCTATACTACTTTTTGCTATGTCAATAATTTGAAAAAGTTTATGATTTCATCCATTTCAAACAGACCTTTCTACGTTTTAATATAAGGTTACGCAACATTTAAGATAAAAAAAAATCTTTAATTCGGCTTGATTTTTTTCGTACAGTAACAATGGCGGGAGTAGACATTAGCAATCAGAAAGAGTTCAACTACAAATGTCTTATGGCATTCCGTGCTGTCGTCGACGGCGTCATAGCGAGAGCCAAAAACCCTCTCTACTACTTCGATAATATCTACAGAACGTCAGAATTGAAAAAAATAGAAGATGCTCATGTCAAAATAACTCATGAGTTAACAGAACAGGTCAGATACATTAGATTTGATTGAGTTTTAAGGTTTTTGCTAAATATATTTCCATATATTTAATAATGTAATAATGTATATAGGTAATGGATGTTTCCACATTCATTACCATATAAATATTTTTGCATAGGTATATACTACAGATTTATTGAATGTGACTTTCTAATAAGAGTTTAATATGACCACTTATTAACATATTAACAGTAGGTACATATAAAAACAGATACCTAACATAAATTATTAATGAGGCAACGGGTGTCCTAATCCAAAGCAAGCGATCTCTTTATAGGAAAATAATAAAGTTATTTACCAGCAAAGTTGGTATAAAAATAAATATTGAACATTCTGGCAATAGTTATTTAAAGTGATTTTATTTTTTCTTGAGTCCCCGTCATTTCCACATTAAGTGTAGAAGTAACGGCTTAGCGTGCTTCCCAGGCTGGGGGTGTTTAGACATCGCTAAATTTCTTATTTTAGGGCTACCGTTGAACTTTTATTAGCAAAATAGGATTTGCATAAATTTGACCCAATCCGGGATTTTGAGTCCTCTCCATCAGCAGTTAAACGTGCATTCAATTAATGAAACTGAAACCATTCTATGTTTTGTTTAAGATTTAGTTCGGTACCGTTAGAATGAACTGTATCTATTATCTGTTGTGTGTTTAAGGAAATGAAACTTTAAAGTAGATACAATTTTTATTGTTTGTATTAGATACATTAATATTAAATATACTTAATTAGCTTAATTTCTAGCTGGAAATTATTGCAATATGCAGATTTTCTTTAAAATGTTATTTACAGGTCCTGAAAAAAAAGCGTGAGGTTTACGCAACCGAAGATAAAGATAAAGAAAGTTCAGGTGATATTTAAGAAACAATATAAATAGCTAAATAAGTAAAATATTACGATAGATTTTATGGCTAAAGCTAAATATCCAACTTTTTTAATGTGTAAATTAAACCCGGGATTTCTGAATCTTTTAAGAAATTCCATATAGAGGGACCGATTAACGATCAGGTAAATGATTTTCAATAATTTATTGTTTCAGAAAAAAAATTCAAGCCATTCCTACATCGCTTGCTGGATTTTAGTAATACCCTATTAAGCGACAATGACATTAAAGACGAAATGAATAATATTATGTACGCGGGTTCTCAATCCAGCTCGGCAGTTCTTGCTTATACATTGTTAATTCTAGGTACATACCCCCGCATACTAGAGAAATGTCAACAAGAGTACGTACCCATATTAATAAAATATTTAAATAAAAAATGCCACCGTTCGCCGCATTGGTTCGTTAACGTGTGTTGTTAGATTATTTATAGTTTATTATCGGGTCATTTGTTTCGTAACGTTTAAATAAGTACAACAATGTATACCTACCTAAGGTCTAGTAACATTTCAGCCAAATAGAAAATTACAATGCGTTCCAGTAATCGAAAACAATACCGCAGGCATTAAGATCCGTTTACGAAACAGCGACTTAAAGAACTATGTATATTGTTTTTATTAATAAGGTATATATGTATATGATTGGAAGTTAATGTCAATAATATGAAAAAAAGTCGTGTGTGAGTAGCGTTAAATAGTTAATATACCGTAACCACAAGTATGTATAAACATATAGGTAGGTACATCTGATAATAGTCCGGGAGGAAGCGCTATAGTTGAGCGAAACATTTTATACCGGCTAAAAATCATAACTAAATAAATAAATAACAATAATAGTTTTCCTCTAACTGAAGAAGACAGCATTTAAGGTAATAGGTAAAAAATCCACCGAACAATAATGTATTGCGTATAACCCCATACGGCATAGATCAAGTGTAAACATTACTTTTCTTTTAAGAATTCGTGAGATATTCGGCGAATCCGATAGAGATGTGGAGAAAGCAGACTTGACCAATTTGAAGTATATAGATGCAGTTCTAAAAGAGACGATTCGACAGTGTCCGGTAGCACCATTCACTGGCCGTTTAATTACTGAAGACATTCAACTTAGTACGTATTTGTTTTGTGAACGTAGCTATTATTTGACGTAGATACACGAAATGCGATCTGACCTTGAGATCAGATCTTAAAATCACATAAACGGCATAAACACATAAAACACTATTACGAGAGATTTAGGAATAATTTATTTTACCTACTTAAAAATAATAATAAACAAGTGATCTAATAATAGATATGCCTAAATAGGACTACAAAGTAGTCTAAAGTAGTAATAAGTAGTGGAGCCTGGAGCTAAGCTTCCCCACGATTCAGTGTTGTTTCAAATTAATGCGGGTGAAACATATAATATAGTATTCAATATCATATTAGTCTTTGGCTAGAGATGATATTTTATTGGTATTTACATATTTTCCAGAAAACACAGTCCTTCGTAAAGGGTATCCATGCGCTATTCTATTATACGGCATACTTAATAATCCAGCTCTATGGGGTAAAGATGCTAGTGAATTTATACCAGAAAGGTGGTTGGAAGGGAGACTTCCAGAAAATTCTAACGCTTTAGGCGCCTTTGGTTTTGGAAGAAGAAATTGTGTTGGTAAGATTTTTTGTCTATTTTCACTAATCAAAATTCCTCGAAATTGTAGCTACTTACTTATTTATATATAGGAAGTAGCATTATATTTGGTCTTTTGTTTCAGGTAAAGTATATGCCTTTACTACAATGAAGGTAGCCCTGGTACATATTCTTCGTAGGTATAAGATGACAGGAAATTTTTTCAACATGAAATTGAAGAACCAAGTTATCAATAAGCCAGCTGGCGGACATGAAATTAGCATCGAATTCGCCTAAAATTTCTTAATAATCTTAGTAATTCAAGTACGGAATTTATCTAGTCATAAATTCCGATGGCGTACTTGAATTACTTAATTTAGTAAAGTTTTCTTCTAGACTATAATTTTTAAGTACGAAAAAATTACGTTTAAGTATTTTTTTTATTTTAGCTTAGATTTGATTTACCTCCTTGCAAATTATAAACATGAGGTAGGATTGATTAGGATACTACTTTTTTTTAAATTAAATAAAATCACTGCAACAGGGTAAAATAAAAGCATATTAAAATATTGTAACTACTATTAAACTATTAATGAACTCTTAAATATAATAAAATAGTTGCATAATGATAATAATGAAAAAATATTTACATCGCAAATATTAATACAATTAAGTAACTATAACACATAGTCAGAAAATGTAAACCAAGATAGAGTTTGGTTATTCAATGGAAGTTCACATCCTACCATAGTAGGCTCATTGGGTGGTTGTATCTTCTGTTATTCTTGTTACACCATTTATAGTTTTTAGCCCCTTTTAGTTGTTGCCCTTGTATGAGCAATGGTCTTGTATTGGCAAAAAGATTATTATTGCAGTTTTTATCAGATATCCTACTTAAAATTAAGACACCAATGACCATCAAAATGAAAATATGTTATCAAGCATTTATAAAACTGTTTATTACAAATTTTATATAAAAGTTAAAATCATGTTTAATTATAAGTTACTTAAATCAACATTAAACAAAATATAACAAATTGGAAGTAATTTCATATATGGCACTTTTGTTACTACAATAAATACGTAGTCGGTCCCAAAGTTCTGTCATAAATGGAAATAATGATAAAAACAAAAGTCAGTTTTTAATGAGTGATATATCAATTTATAGTACATTAATTAAGGAATAGAAATAGCATAATAGAATTATTCGAAATGACCTTCCTTATTTTTAATACAGGCCCTTAAGCGCCGCGGCCAGTGGTCTTTGCAGCACGCACCATATTCATTTCGATTTCAGTGACTGCTTTATTTAAATATGACATCAGACTCCAAATTTTTATGTGGTATAGCACAGACCTTCCTCTCAGACCTGCCAAATTTTATAATCCAAAGGATTAAGGTCCGGACTGGAGGAAGGCCAATCCTCATGTGTAATTAAGTCGATGTTTTGACACTCAAATCAGGCTTGAGTGGTAATGGCTGTGTGTGAAAGCGCAGAGTCCTGCTGGAACAGGAAGTGATGTCCCGCAAATACCGTGGTGGGCAGGACTTTGACAAGCCGATCCAAAACCGTCTCTTGGTACACTTTTTCACTGGTTCCGACCCCCTTTTCGCAAAAATGAACCTCAGTTGGCCCGTAATGGGACACTCCCAACCAGATCATTACTGATGATGGATGATATCCATGTTGCACTCTTGGAACTTTATTTCTAGCTTCTTCAGAACTCCTGGCGTACACTCTATCATTCTGTTTATTGTATTTCTCTTCAATATCGAACAATTTTTCGTCCGTAAAGAAGATACAACGGTGTCGGTTTTTCGCGTACCGCTTTAACAACACCCACGACCTCTTAAGCCTTATTGCTTTTAGACGAGCAGTAAGTAAGTGCCCACTCTTTTTTTTGTATGCTCGTAGACCAAGATCTTCATTTAAAACCTTTTTTACTATTTTCCTATTGACACCCATCTGCAAAGCCATCAACTTCTGTTTTTGGATAGGATTTCTTGCTATCCACACCTTGACAGCTTTGATTACTGCTGGTGGTGCGGAGCGTGGCCAGCCAGTTCTTTTCTTGTCCTTAACACTGGAGACTTCATAGTATCTATCAACTTTTGAGCAACTTGTAAAATGGTACTCGGCGCATGCCCACAGCGGTGCAACGCAATAGCTATTCGGTTTACTTTCAATGTCCACTCCAACGTGAAAAATTACCGAAAGTGATTGTTTTTTGTTTGAAAACGATAGGCAAACATTCAAAAATATAAAGCAATTTTTTTTTTTAAATCATGTTCGAAATTTTAAAATAATGTGTCAGTGACAGAACTTTGGGACCAACTTTGTACATTCTAAATAAGTGTACGATTATAAGAATAGTAAGATTTTTCACATGCAAGCAATAACATGAATTACAGTAAACTAATTAATTATATTATTGTCATAAATTCATATCATTAACTTTTATCACAGAAAGTAAGTTTAGTAGTATGGAATATTACAACAAATTTATTCACTTGTTTGTTCACATTCAAGTGTATAATATGTAAATCCAAATATCAAAATATATGCAAGTATATCTAAAGTAGACTGCAATATGATTAAATTAGTAAACACATTCCTAAGGTAAGCTTTTTCCTTATATTTTTAATACAGCAATACTGTAAATTAATACTTCCAAAAATTGTCCTTATCTAATAAATATAAAAACTATGTAGCCTAAATACTCAGCGGGGCTTAGTTAAGCCTTAAGCTTGAAGTTTTAAGCATCAAATATAACTTTTAAATACAGGGTATTCTAATCAAAACAATTGCAATCACAGCATTCAACATCTTCACAACCACCCGTATCTTCAGAGCTTTCACCATCACAACATGATGTTATACAATCTCCACACCCCTCTAACATATTTTCCATACATTTACCCAACTGTACACAACACCAACCAAAACATCTACAAAACATATAAAATTCCCACTCATCTGGATCATAGTACGGATCGCAACAACAGTCTTCTAAATCTTCTCTTCGCTTTTTTCTTTTCTCACCTTCTTGTTCTACTTCTTCCGCATCTGAGTCGGAAACTTCGGGGCGAGGTTGAGTCGTAATAGGTATGTCATTATGCTGTTCTAGAGAACTGCTTTCAGTACTATCTAAGTTGCTCTGTAGATTAATTAGGCTGGTAGACATATTTAGTAAAGCACCATACTATTATTCCTCAACCTTTTTAAAAACTTTGTTTTTGAATATTTGTTTAACTTAGATAATCTAAGTGTTATAAGATAATTACTTCGTTTTTTGAGGAAACTGTTTAATCAAACCATTTAAAACTGTTGACCTGATTGAGTAAAACATAAAAAAAGAAAATTTAAATACGGAATACTAAACACTAATGAACTTGTAATTTTGCAATTACTGTTTATTTTCCGTAGACGTGGTTAATGGTTATCACTTATCAATACCAATTAGCATTGCCTCAGAGTCACAGACTAAGACAATTAAATTAAAGGCACTCTGTGTATAGAACATAGATCTATACAGTAGTCCTATCAAATACAAACAAGACAAGAGAAGGCAATATATCTATAAAGCTTAGGTTTCCTAGAACAGCGGTGCCGTTATCTAACGGCCGTAATGTAACGTTGGGTGACGTCACCCATACGTTGTCTATAAATAACATCGGAGTAGGTTTTCTAGGGAACGTTGAGTGTCACCACGTCAAATAGCGGTGCTGTCATTTGCATGACGGCCGTCATAGCGGTGATAAACAGTAGTTCAACGTGATTCGCGTGAAGCGGTGCCCATATATAATTAATACAATGAGTGGAAACGTAACTTGGACGAGCGAAAATAATTGTTTTTTTACATTATTTAAAAAGTAAAGATGGCCGTTATTAACAACCGTAAAATGACGGCCGTTAGTTAACGGCACCGCTTTTCTAGGAAACCTAAGCTTACACGAGACTTAACGCTCTGTGGGACCCCGTCACGTATAAACACTATAATATAATTATATACGATATGGCCAAGCCATGTTTGTCTCGTTTCTGAATACCGTAAGATGACGTCTGACGACGTCAGGAAAGATATAGCTGTTAACGTAAAATTGTAAAACCGTTAGATTGTAATCTATCTCGCGAGATTATAAACTGTCGAAAGATTGTGAACCTCAGCGTACTGCTTACAATTTAACGTATTATTATTCGGTAGATTGTAATCTATCGAAGTGAAAAATCAAATTTGAAACGGCCATTTCCTACTTTTCTATTGGTTATAAGAGATGTGACATTCTCGTTTTCTATTGGTTATAAGTGATGTGACATTCTCGGTAAATTAATCGAATCGATTATTTCCTCATTTGTTAATTTTAAATTTAAACCTAATTTAACATTACTTGTCAAATGTACATACATTACATTAACTTCATGTTTCAATTAGTGTACGGTTCCGAAAATTTTGAAATTATTCAAAAATAATCTATTTTTAAAAGTGAAAATCGATTTTTGTATTCGTTTTTGTATTCGATTTAGAGTTTCATTGAACAGTTATTAAAAAAAATATTAATATACTAACCTAACCTAACCAATAATAATAAATTTTTGGACAGCACCGGCGCTACGGGAAATGCAGCCCCTCCACCCTTGCGTGCCAAAGCACAGGCAATTTATTCAAGCCTCCCAGCTTGCATAATGCCTGTGCTTTGTTACAGCGGGTGGGGGCTGCTCTTCCACTGCGCCTCCGATTTTTATATACACTCTAGGGGTAGGGCAGACAAGACCACGTGGATAGTGGGGTGCTCTGATTCGGTTTTGGGTACTTTTGAATAATTTAAAAATTTTCGGAACCATACACTAATTGAAACATTTAGTTAATGTAATGTATGTACATTTGACAAGTAATGGTTAAATTAGTAAATTTAAAATTAACAAATGAGGAAATAATCGATTCGATTAGGTTCAATTTTAAAAATAACAAATGAGGAAATAATCGATCGATTAATTTACCGAGAATGTCACATACTTATAACCAATAGAAAACGAGAATGTCACATCTCTTATAACCAAAGAAAAGTAGAAAATGGCCGTTTCACAATTTGACGGTTTCACTTCGACAGATTACAATCTACCGAATAATAATACGTTAAATTGTAAGCAGTACGTTGAGTTCACAATCTTTCGACAGTTTACAATCTCGCGAGATAGATTACAATCTAACGGTGTTTACAATTTTACGGTGATATAGCCATATGGCGTGGTTGCTAGGCGCTAGGCAGTTGACACTTAAGAATCGATGGCCGGAAAAATATAATGGTTGCTTAGGCTTACTTTAAAGATAATCCTAGAGTTAAGGATAGGTGTATAGGAATTTCAATAAATAAATAAATATATTTTTCTAGTTTATAGATATTAAATAACAATGTCCAATCATTTGAACTCATACTTTAATTTTAAATTACATACATTCCATATTTACATAAGTTACTACATAACAGAAAGGTCACCTCATTTAACTAAGATTTTAAGGTTATGTCAGCATTTTAAATGCGTGGATTTTACTATTTTTATACTTAAATAATATGCAAACTGAAATGTGTTGTAAAAATTAAAAATTATAAAATATAATTTCTATGAAATATTTCAAAAATTATAGAAAATTTAAAATCGTAAGAGACCACCAGCCTTTGAAAAAATAAAATCTCAAGATACATCTTATTGCTGGAAATGAGAACTAAAATTTGGATTTTTCAATATTTTAGGATTTAGGTCTCACGTAATGTTTCAAGGGAGTCAAAGGACTTTTGTAGTTGACATTAATGCTTTTTGAAAATACCTCTAATCTGGCGACAGCGCACCGAAAACAAATGAAACCGGCGACCATTAACTACAAACCAGCGCCTACAAAATTATTGACTGTTTTTTCTAAATTACATAGACCTAGTTTCAACAGGTTCCAAAAAAGTCATGTAGTGTAATTTTGGTATTAAACAAAAGTTGCATCTTTAATATTTTTTCATTAAAGTTTGACTAATTCAAAGCATATGAAATTTTTTCCACATAGTTAATATATATAATTATATACACATTTTTGAACCCTATAAGAGATATTTCATACACTTAATTACATATTTGCCTTTATCAGGACACATGATACTAGGCCTATATAATTAAAAATCAACAGCGATTTCCGATAACATAAAACGAATTTCTAGTTTTTATCACTAGCAACCCTACAAATATAATAGACCAGAAACAGAGGCATGCGCCATTACAGCTTCCGCCGCTTGTCGTATTTCAAGATGTCTGCGAGCTGAGTCCAACCAAGGCTTGGCTACTGCCCTTGGAGCGCCTTGTAAAAGATTTATATAACGTAGGGCTGAGGAAAGATCGCCGTGGTCCATGTAATATCTAAAACATAAATTAGCTCATATTATTTAATCAAGCAAAAAAATTGAATATTTAGGGCCTATTAAATATAGTTAAAATCATACCTGGCTCTTTGTATTATATCAAATGTGTCCAATTTAGTGAAGTCTGTTGGAAGGTTGTCCAACTCATCTTTTGGGATTTCGGCAAACTAAAAAAAATCATATTTTATTTAAATGGAAATAACTGTCTTCCCCAAATATTTATATAAAATGTTGAAATGTTACATTAAAATCTTAGATATTGTATTGTAGTTAATCATGGTAATATTATTGTTTTTTTCCTTTAGTTAGAATCTGTTTACCAATATCATAAAATGAAATCCCAAGCTTAGACAAAAATTATAAGTATAAAATGAAGAATAAAATGTTAGATACAAAATTACCATTCGAAGAACATTATAATAAATTCTATAAAAATACCTTTTGGAAAAGTAATTTGGACTGCAACCATGACAGGAAGTAAACTGGCAACCCTGCTCCTTCCCGTCCCACTAGCGCCACTTTCACAGCTGACTTCTCTAGCTGCAACATTCATTGCTATATTTAATAGAATTTTTGTCTTAGCCTTAAAATTAATAGTTTAAATTTATTTTGCTTTGGGAGCGTTCAAGTATTACGTAACGCAATTTTTTGGAGATTATTATATAATTTTTTATAATTTGATATTCAAGCTCTATCAAACATTATTATATTAAATTATGAGTTACTTAGAAATGTATATATAAATAAATATTTTATACCGTATCGAATTTATCCCGTAGCGCTTTCTCAGTGACAATTCCCTTCTCTCTGACTTCCTTGGGAATTCCTTGAAGCACTGTTTGCACCAGTTTGTCGTCTTTACCTATTGAGAGACACTATATTAAAGTTTTCAATATTTTATTGTAAAGTTTAAACTCCATTAAGGTCAAAGTAGTGCTAGCTCTCAATGTAAATTTTGGACGTTTTTAGAACTTTTATGACCTTTCTCGAATGGATTAACAAAAAACTTTATTTTCAAATTGAACTAGTAGATCCTGCGATAAGCTCATTGAACCAAACAATAATACATCTTAGTATCGATTAAACTTACCGGCCTTCTCTAAAGCTGTGATCTCGTGCGTTAGCAATGCGTGTTGGGTAGTGCGACGGGTGGCGGCGTGTAAGGCTTCCGCTGCCGCCCACAAGGACTGGGAGCGACGGGCTTCCGTTTCCGCTTTGGCTCGCTCTGGAAATTGTGTTCTCTGTGACTTAATTTTGTTTTGACAAATTCATGAAATTAAATTTTGATTGGCATGCAGCAATACATTATGTGCAGAACCCTCTTATTACGCGATTTCCGTGCCTGTTTAACACGGGGAACATAAAACGCGGGGATTTCACACGTTACATTTTTGTACTGAGATATTTTCAATGATTTGTACGCAATTATTTCGTTTTAACATAGTTTTTTCCTTAAAATTAGATTTAAATCCCCTTTAACGAGAAAAGTTAAACGAGAATCATTTGTACATAACGCGTTATGTACATATACCAGAATTAAAACAGACTACCTCTTACAACGCGTTTGCTATAACACGGAACCAACCTACCGTGGTAGGTTGACTGTACATGCAAGTTATATGAGATTTACTTCACCATACCTAAAGTTGGAGTCTGATAAACGCCTAATAAAATTAAAATAAAGTCTAAATAATAGTAAAAAATAAACTCACGTTTTAGAGTCTGTTCAATGGCCATTAGTTTCCCAGCCATCGTAGCGAGCTCACGTTTGAACACAACGCGCTCTTTCTCGACTTGTTCCGATACTGAACGGCTGAATTTACCCAAAACCTTAAAATAATAAATATTACATAAAAACTTACATTTAGAAATAACAAGAAATGTAGTTGAGTATATCTTAATTTAAGTGTATAAATTGTATATAAAGTAAAAATGTTGATTGGCAACATATAAAACACAGAACAAAGTTGAATAAACATATCATTAACCATTTCTTTCATTTTCATATTAATGAGATCATTTGACTTAAGTGTACCTAAATCACGATTAGTTTAGTTTAAAAAAATATATGCGGTAGAAAACATAGGTCAAACAAACAATATTAGAAGACACAGATAAGGAAAGAAAATGTACCTCTTTTTCTTTTCTAGAAAGCTGATCTTGCAACACTTCTTGTTGAATTTCAAACTGTTTCTTAAGTTGCTCCTTTAGTTTTCTGTTCGCTTCCGCCTGAACAGCTAAGCTCTGAAATATTTCATTATTTAATGTTGATTGTTTGTAGATTTGTACAGATACAATGAAAAAATGTTTTTTTGGATCATTTGATGGGTCATCCATGTTAAGTGATAGCGCCGTAGATGGAAACTCAAAGTAGCAGAGGGCTCGCGAGTGCATTGCCGGCCTTTTCAAGAATTGATTGAATTTATTTAGCGCTTTATGTTACATTGTTGTATTTCCTAATAATAAAAGTGTTTGTACAACCCTAAGTGGGTATTATCCTTATATTGCATTCTTTTCTTTGATCATTTTTTATCATAGACAAGTAGATGATCAGCCTTGTGTCTGACACATGTCATCGATTTTTGGATTTGAGAAATGCCAGTTTTCTAAACCGTACGACCGAATGTTAGATTCGCACATAAAAAGCCCACAGCCGAGATCAAACCTACGACCTCAGGGATGAGAATCAACACTGCTCTGGTCTTCTTAAATTATATGTAAATCATAATGATACCTTTTTTTGGAACTCTTTTTCTTTCTCCTGTCTCTCTCTCTTTATCATATCTTCTACTTTCGCTTCTATGATGGCTTGTTCGTCGTGACCTGAAATTAAAAATCATTTTAAATCTACTAAAGAATTTTTAATTAAATATATTATATGCACTTGTTAATATTATTATTTATTTTTCCAATAAAAATAATGAAACAGACATAGCAATGCGCAACTTCTTATTTAATTTTTCTTGAAATAATTTGTCTTGTGTAAAGAAAATTTTTTTTTTAAAAAATGTCACTATTCGTTTCTGAAATAAAATACTATAAATGGTTGCCTGCTCGCGTAGTAAATAAAGCCACCCATTGCACAGTGTTTTTCGTTTATTTTTTTAATTCTATTATTTTTTCTTGTGCAAAAACGTCTAATTAAAATACATATAATTATGTTTTTGTAAATTTAGTCGCATATAATCATTTGTTTAGGGTCTTACCAATGGGTACTTACACTCAATCGCCCTCTTGATTTTCAAATCTCTGGTAGTTTGTAGTTCCGCTATTTCGTTTTGTAGATATTGTACCTATAAAATTTATTCCAATAAACATTTACGGTCTTTACTATGTGAATGGTTTTAAATTAACTATCTTTCCTATCAAGAAAGTATTACTATGGGAAAGTAATTACCTGTTTCAATGTGTATAGCAGGAGTAGATCTGTATCGCCCTTAAGTTCTAGTTTGCGGGCAGCGAGGTTGACTCCCGGGAATAACATTTGCAATTCATCTTTGTATGCTTTACGGGCAGCTTCCACCTGGACACAATATAAATGTTTTAAATTATTTTTTGTTCTATCTTTATTCTGGGTAAAAAATGATTTATTTCGTAATCCTACAGCTAACATAAATTATATATAATAACATACAGTTACACTAAAAATATAGCCAGATATGGAATACATAATACATTTAACTACAAAAAGGTTCAAAAATTTACAAAAGGAAACAAAAAAATTAAAAACTATTCAATATGTTTAACTAAGTGGTACCTAATTTGGCTGTGTTGTACCAAAGAAATACAAAAATTTAATTATAAATAAATCAAGAATAGGGCATAAATAAATTCACGATGAAAGATAATAGAGAGAGCTAATTCAAATAGAGGAGTGATAAAGAATAAGAGTTTTCATATTCTATAAATCTATTTTTAATATACAGTGTAAACTCTATAAAACGACACTCAAGGGACCGAACATATTTCGACGTTACAAAGAGTTGTCGTTAAATAGAAAGAAGAAAAATCTGTATAAGAAGAAGAAAAAGTTTATTTCAGACTAGTGTTAGTAATTATAAACCACAGCGGTTTTCTAATGTAACTTATTATGATTGTATTATATTTTTTGTAAAATAAAGAAATTAAAAAAAAAATCTTAAAATTGTACGTCGTATGATGCCGACAGTTGAGTAAGTTGAGTTTATTACGGGATAGGACAATAAAGCGACAAAAGAACGTACAGAGTTCCGCAGTTTTAACTAATTTTGACAACTTAAAAAGTACTTTTTATTATTTATTTATCGTTATTGAGGGTGGGCGTTATGCTATGTAGAGTATGTCATTGTATGGAAGATAAGCTAAACCAACCAAAGCCGAGTGATTTCGACGCTTTAGGGACTTTGTCGTTAAATCGAGGGACGTTACATGGAGTTTACACTATTATTTTTTACTCTTTAAATTGCCATACCAATTACTGTTCATACCATGCATTATTAAATTTTGTTGTATGTAACAGGGATCGCACAGGTTCTTGAAGACAGACTACACCAAGAGCCTGGGATATAATATATTGTTGACAATAAATGTACCTTATTCCAATATTTATCCGACAGTACTGCCTGCTCCAGGCACTCCTTGTATTCGTTTTCAGCCTGAGACAGGTCTGCTCTGAACTGCTTGATGTACCTCTGAGTGGCCGCGATGCTCTCTGGCGGAGCTTGTACGCCAGCCTTTATCATACGGTCCAGGGTCTCTGATTATAAGACATTAATTTTCATTACATGAAATAACAAGAAAACAATAAAAAACATTGGGCCACAGGATTATTGCTATGAAATGATCTTAATTAGTGTCCAAGTATATAAGAGCGGATATAAATTCCTTGATTAACTGAATATTATTAGTCTAATATTAAAGATCTCTATTAGGTGCACTCCACCATCCTGCAGCACTGCATAAAACTACAATAGGTTTCGTATTTAGCGAACCCGGTTCTCAGAATACTCTATACATTGCATCTTTTTCAAATATATATGTACAGAACGGGTGACATGGCATATAGCGGTTAACCCTAGGAAAGTAATCAAAAAATTATGTCAAATGACTACTATTATGATTATGACAACATATCTCAAGTTTTCCTATTTTTTTTCACCATCATGTTACCGTGAGTAACCTCTCTGTAAACGACAGACAGAGATACATTTGATTGAATCACTGATTTTCAAATAAAAGGCAGATGAAGTCCAACAATGAACTAAACATTATTATATCTATGGACTGCGGCTTGAATTCCGGCTAAATAAACCTAAATAAAGCGTACCAATAGCACATTTAGCCTTTGCAGACGTCTCCTTGGCCTTAGCAACGGTTGCGTTGCGCTCGTTAACGGCACCTTGAAGAGATGTGAATTGCTTCTTGTCTAAATCTTCTAGCGGCGCTTCTATTATCTGTTAAAGACATTTATTAGAATTCAAACCCAAATACAGAAAATCCGGAAAATATATTGCATATCGAGATTTTTCCTTTATGAACTGGTGTAATTAACTGTGATTGTATGAAATTGATTTTACATATTTATCGTTTATAATAAAACAATTTATACCGGATTGAAGTTATGTATTTACAACTATTTTTCATAATTTTAAATTTAACCGACGTTTCGCGTGCTTTACAGCGTGCATGGTCACGGTGACTGAAGACAAAAGGTGCTGAACGTCAAAAAGTTGTTTTATTATATATTATGTGTGAAAGTTATGTCAATAAAAGACAATACTATATTTATCGTTTCCCAAAATCAAATACAAGATATGGTGAAAACTAACCCTTAGGTTGTTCCAGAAGAAATTAATGTATTAATAGACTTCAATATATAAATCTACTAAATAATCAGAAATAATTAATGAGCAATGGGCTGGTGTAAATACAAGACAAACCAAGACTTCTAATCTCGGTCGTGTTTTTTTTTAGAATTATTTGCAACTTACCCTATAAAGTGCCTTATTATATTCAGCGCAGAACTTGGTTGCCTTTTTATAATTGTCTATGGCTGATTTAGTGTTCTCGTGCATATCATGTTCTAATTCCACCATGTCTTTTGTAATCCTGATTGGTGGGGCTTCGTGAGGCTCACAGGCTTCCGTTTGGACAAGGGTTGCTGAAATTTTACGGAATTTCTATAAGCTAACTGCTTTTTCTTAAACTTGAATTATTTAGACATTTTTAAGATTTTTAAAATAGCTAGGTTCACACCCAGATGGGAAAATCTAAGCTAAACACGCAACTTCAATGATTATAAAAGAACGCGTCGAGAATGAACGGGCCAAGTGTGGAATTAAATGGTATTATTCTCTATGAAATATTACGTTGGGAAGGTCAGCAAAATGTCTATCTGCGTGTGTCTATACTAGAAAATAATAGTTGCACTGATTTAGGCAATTCATTAATATTACCTTAGAAAAACGCACAAAAATATAAATCTATCTTTAAATACCTGCAATCCCTATTTACTTAGGCACCCTGAAGTCTGGGACACCCATATCTCACAAACTACTCAACCGATTTTGATGAAATTGTTGAACAAGTTAAAAATCATTGATTAAATCAATAATCTATATGATTATTAGTTTATGAGAAGTTTGTGGTCAAATATCAAATTTCAACAATATCAATCAATATCACAACAATGTTTTAGACACAAAATATTGCTTCCTTTTTTGTCTGTGAATTATGACCACTCACCTGGTGTTTCAATTTCAGGAGTTTCCATTTGTTTTTCTTCAACATACAATGGTTCAAACTTCGTCGGTGGAACTGTTAGGTATTCATGATAGTTAGTAAGTCATTTACTATAACTAAGTGATATCTAACTTTACAAAGAATGATTAAGGAAAGGTCATCATAATATTACTGTTTTGTTATGATTGCAAACACTTATTTTTCAAATGGATGTTAACCATTCCATATTATTGTGAAATATGTTTTTAAAAATGATATAATTATATTGTGTATCTAGATTAAAATTAATATTTAAGAATGTAGATTCATTACGTTCGTAGGTCTTCTTAGCAAAATCCCTTGCAGCATCTTTTTCAATATCTTGTTCTGAACGTTGTTGGAAATCCATAGGGGATACTCCTTCCTGAAACATTATAACTATTCTATTAATGACAAAATATATAAGCCTCATTTGTAGTGTCTGACATAAAAAAACTGAGAAATGCAGGCAATGTGTCTATATTTCTATGTTATGTCACAGATATTTTGCAACTTGAACCACAACAATTTCATCAAGAATCCAACAGAAGACTAACTTCATATTATGTGTATGTTGTGACTGATTTATTACTTTATTTTAATTTAGCAACAAACTCCTCAGTAAATTTATTAAAAGCATATTTTTAAATATTAATATCATTCTAGTAAAATAGATAGAAATCATGTGAAATTTTGATAATTTACATATAAAATTTATGGACCTAATAGTATTATAAATTTGTGAATTAATGTAAAAACTCTATGAGAAATATCTAATAGAAACAATCGCACACAGCCTGTAAATAAAATTTTAAATAATAAAAAATATAGTTTAAATAAATTATTACCTTTCCAAACATAAAGTTTGTGATGGTGGAGGTTGCTTTACTCAGTTGGTTAAAGGTGAATTGCCAATAAGTTGTGTTCTCTTGGTAGACAAGGGCCACAAAGTTGTTAGCCCAGGGGGGCATTTGACTCCAACCAGTTTCTTGCTTCTGGGCTGTGCCTGTTGAAGACATAGTTTGTATAGTGTTCATGTTCCAGTTCACACTTCCCTCTATGTTACAAGTACTATAAAATACTCTAACCATAATTAATGCCCTAACACAATAATATTACTAGATAGATTAAATTTTCAAATGGTCACTTAACATGTATTTTCAAAGGTGGTTCCTTCAAATAAATTATCTAAAAAAAAACTGTTTATATATTTTTATGTTTCTTACATAGCTTCTTTTACCAACTTAGTTTAATTGGCAATTTTTAATAACAGACTCATACCAAGCCACTTCGATCCACTCCAATTAAGCTATGATCCCACCCATCAGAGTACTATTTGAAACTACACATGTTAGCAATCTGTCAAGGAACTGAAGGTCTGTAGATATGTATGCATTCATTACTTACTTGGCATACACAACAGCCGTACCAGTGAGAAGAGAAGCACCAAGGGTCCCCCATAGTAATTTCCGTGATTTGGGGGGAACTTTTGCCGAATGTTTGTCTGATGCATTCCTCCGATGAGGTGATCTCATTACTATAAGGGCTGAACATGATCCATCACCAATTTGTTTTCTGACCTGAAGAATACATTAACAATAAATTTTTTATTAATTCATGTGTATAGGGAACAATCCTCTTGAGGCAAAATAATGATTTCATGTCAATCATCCTCAGATACAATCAATTTGATAATTGAATAATTAATATCGTTAACATTAAATACCATTATAGCTGGTAGTAGAAAAAGATTCACCATTATCAGCTGTTTGTTTTGATTGGACAAATTAAGTTTAAGGTTATTTATGACGATGATCAATGGTTGTTGTTATGTAATTACAACACAACATTATAGCTAACATTACATGTAAAGGTTGGACTGCATTTTTTAATTAAAAACTAAAATTTTATAGTGATATCAAATAGAAAATTAAAAATATTTTTTATATAGGCGGAAAGTAAAGTAAGATAAGAAATTTTAATATCAATACTTCTGAAGAAAAAAACTAATGTAAAGCTAAATTATAACATAAATAAAAGTAAAATTAAATAACAAAACTTACCAAAACTAAGCTAGGATTTGTTATTTGGTTTGTAAATCTGTACATTTTCGGCAGGCAATGATTTTTTCACTCGGGCTGTCATAAGTCAAAACCATAGAGAACAGGCAATGATAACATATTTAAAAACATGGATATAGTAAAACTGTGCTTCTAAAACCACATGCCAAAACAACTGTATGTGAAGATAAGATGTACTTTAGAGTTTTAAACTTTACATTCAGAAGGCATAAAAAGAAGATTTAAGGGCTTTAGAAATCATGTGATTTTAAAATATTTAAAATATAAGGTTCAATATTTACTATTTAGTCATGTTATATCCATTATTAATGTTAAACCATAATAAAAGTCTGTGGCTGACGGCTGTGCTGTTGACTATGGTTTATTCATATTTTTTAAATTTCTAAATGTTATTCCTTTTGCATTGATACTTAGATAATTAAAATTCTATAAAAACTATGTTTTAGTAGTCTAGGTAGTTTAACTTATTTCTGTCACAGTTTTTAAAAAATGTTTCGCTGCACATTGTCTGGTAGAGTAAAATTGAAAGTTAGTCGTATTTGATAATACAGACATTTATATTAATAGTAATATAGGTTATATTTATTTTCAGTGATCCGACGTTTACGACCGATTTTAGTTCCTTCCGTTAATGGGACTACGGTTACTTGCAATGAAACTAGAAGTCTTTCAACTATAATTAATAGACAACATACCTTAAACAATATAGGATTATCTAGACCAGCCTTAATACAAAACAAACAAATCCTTGATATATGTAACAGAATAACACCTATATCTGTTCGAACTGTCACCAAGTTTAGTTTAAAGAGGGGTAAACGGAAGACTGTTAAAGCTGCAGTTCGAAGATTCTTAAGACTTGAATGGGGTGGCTGGATCAGGACTAAAGTTGGTAGAAATAAAAAAATCTGGAAGAAATCGCAACCACAAAGAAGGCGTTTAAGGCAGCATGTATTTTGTAATGCAACTCAGTCTACATTGCTAGATAAAATGGTAACAAAGTTCTGGAAGAAACCTAAATATTATGTAGATGATCCATATGCTCCATATCACACCCGGGAAGAATTTCATATAACAAGGAAAAAACCTACTAACCACTAAGCATATTTATGTCTGATATATTGATCTAATTATTTTGTATCATACAAAATATAGCTGTAGTGTATATAACTGTAGAAGCTAATTTCAATAAATAAAAAACTTTAACATCTTATTATTTTCATTATTGTATTTAATATTTTACATATACAAGTGGTATATTTAATCAAATTTTATTATATATAAAATATATGTTTCCTAAATACTAAATACATAGTTCCAGTTTTTTATAAAAACTCAAGCCGGAGGGACTGTGTACTTTCCCTCCGGGGCTAATGTATCCATCCACAAGTAGCATCCCATACCAAAACCCGTTTCATCCTCCTAGGCATCAATGACATCCCATCCAGCTACTTGCGATGGCAAGATGTTCTCTAGTGATCCCTGTTGGCTCCTAGACGGGAGAAGGGAGCGGCGTATGATGTGTTTGAGCGCGGCGTAGCTTCAAAAACGACCTGCACTCTTTTGGCAATGGAGGCCATTGTGACCAAGGCTACTTACTTCAAAGCAAAAGACAGAATTTTAAAATGAACAGTGCATAGTGGGTTGTAATATCTAAAAGGCGATGAGAATGATCTTTAAATTTTGATTTTGATGAATTAATGTCTTCTATGAAAGTCGGTGCCCCTAAGAGGAAAGTACTAAGTACAGCGATTTTTGATTTAGGTATTATTTTTATATTTGGGGCTAAGGTATTATTTTTTTATTGTGTCATCGCTGTCCAAATTCTTAACATGGAGATATATTTCACATGCTCATAATAATTCATACTAAGGGTGCTATTCAGTAACGTGAATCCCGTACGTCGATAACGACCCTAACGACTTTGGTATTGTCTTGAGAATAAAAAATAATACAGTCGATTATCTAGAAAATAATTGTATATCGACTGCATATAAATTCATAAAGTACCCCGATTTTATTTTATCTTCAAAAAGTTTTTATTTTTGCTTCTTTAGAAATTACGTAGATAGAGTATAGAACTAGATGAGCTTCTAAAATAACAATAATAACTAAAGAGAGAAGGTTTTAACGTGAAATACTTAATGCGAGCGAAACAGAGTATCAGTTTTTCTGTCTCTATTTGCGTATCGGGTTTTATTTGTTTACCACCGAGCGCTTGGTGGTAAACAAATTTTCCACTTTTTTTCAGTTTTCCGAATGAACCGTTTTTAAATAATAAATGGACTGAGTGTACCGGTAGATTAAACTGGCATCCAACTCAATACGCCCGGATATGCTCAAGACAGTTTAAAAAAAATGTTATAACCAAATAATTAAAATAATAATAACATTGTTATTGTTTCTAACCTAACCAATGCAGACTGTACACTGTACACAGTGTAGTCGGTAGCCCTAGACTTCATGCACACTGCTGTACGTGTACAAAAACGACGTCTGTGTATTACACACACTTCCTATAATGAAAGTCTATGGTGTATTAAGTAGAACAGTTACTACGCAGCGGTTGTATAGTGTTCGGGTGTGGTTTTTTTTGTGGAGTGAGTGAGCACCCCCAGATTTTTTTTTGTGGGGTATTTCTTATAGTAAAAACTACCCCACAAAATAGGGAAATTTTTTCTCATGGCAATATTAGTGGCATTATAAAGTTATGTCAATCATTCGCTTATCGCTATCTCACACGCTTGACGCTGTACGTGATGCCTGGTCTATACCATAGTCCGTCTACGATAAATTATAATATTATATTTATATTTCCATAAATATATTTGACATTGTATCACATTTCCTCATTTCTTGTAGTTAATTGTTATATGTCACGGATACATCTGTCAATGTCATTTTGAAACCAAGTATATACTTGCGTAACAATTATTCAAAAAGTTGTTGTGAAATAGTTTTTTTACAATTTACACAAAAGTCTATTTGTGAATCTTGAACAAGTGACGTAAATTATATCCTCATCGGCTATGCATAGTACAAGGTTCGCCCATCTCGTGATAAGGCATATAAAACCTAAAACTTTGCAAAATATTGTCAATAATACGACACCCGGCACAGCATTCGGATTTCGACGTTTTTCGGCGGGAAAAGTAGCAAATATGAAATTTGTTCAATTTACTTACTCAAATAATCCAAATGAAATTCGTGTCGGACATTTAGATGGCGATAATGTTATTGACCTTAATAAGGCGGTGCCGACCTTACCCAGAACGCTATTGGAGATCCTAAGGAATAAGGAAATGAAACAAATTTTCCGGTTAGTCTATAAATTATTTTAAATTTTTTAATAAGTTCTTGGTAACATATTTATATGTACAAAACTAATAAGATTAATTATTTATTATACCCGTGTAATAATAGGTAGCCTTTAAAACCAGGTAAAAACTTTAGAGTGTATATTAAAATAATGCACAATGCAAAATGGATAAATTAAACAATAAGGACTGTCTTGTATTCCTTAAATCAAAACCATATTTAAGTTACTTCTTAGATGATAATAAATATAGTTTTAATTGTTTGTGTAATATTAAAATTAAATTTTGGTTGTATTGAATACATTTAAGAATAAAATATTGCTAGTGCTTAATACCTGACACCTGATAACATTATCATGACAATAGTAATCCTACAATAAACTTAACATCTTTTCACTTGTCAATGATATCAAGTGATTACAATTTTACCTTATTTCATTACATTCAATATTTTAAATAATTTTTGCATTCTTTCATAGAGACAAAGATTTTCTTAAGCTTTTAAAAAAAACCATTCATTGTTGATCTAGTTAATCTAGTAGGTATAGTTCCTGGTTTATAAAAGTCATTGTTTAGAAAACTGGTATTTGAAAGTTCCTCCTAAAGCAAAATCTTGCAATATTACATTCCGGGTTAGATTTAATAAAAAATAAATATTATTTATATAGGTAGGAATTTATTAAGTAGGATACAATAAACTCTTTTTTTTGCCCTTTGCAATTGTATCTAACAAAATGACCTTTGTTATATGAATAAAAATATCATTATCAATCCAGCACCTTATAAGGCCTAAGTCATAGTTAGACAAAATTTTTATGACTATTCTGTTTTACTGTTGAATTATATGCATTATCTTTACCAACATTAAAAAGTTAATAAATAAATGGACTATATATATAGTCCAGTTATTTAATAACACTATAATGCTATTAAGCATTACTACCAATAGAAGAGGAGTGTGAATAAAAAATGTTTCAAAAAGCTGCAATTTTATTATTTTTTGGAAGATTTAACAAAATCTTATTGTTTACACAAAAATCATGTTTATCAGAGTGTTCCTTTTAAAATTTATAAAAATAAAATTCTGTCATAAATCACCCACCATTATAAACTCATTTATGGTACTTTAATGATATTAATCCTTATTAAATTTAATGATGTGGATGTGTATCTATGTTCCATAATAAACATATTTTATTTTTTAATTTTTATTAAAAAAAAATACAATATTTAATTCTGAACAGAATTGCCCTTGACATCCCTTCAGTTGAATGAATCTTTATCTAAGTTTTAAAATAAACTAGCGACCAGCCCCGGCTTCGCACGGATGGAATGCTGATACTAAATTAAAAGTGCTATAGACTCTATAGTATAGAGTATAGGGAGAACCGCGGCCTCCGACGTGCTGCGTCCCGCAATTTTTAAATTTGTAATATCTTCGAAAATATTCATTTAAATCATATGCTGCAAAGGGCCATATAGATCTATATTAAATCAACAATGTATTTAATTTTTATTTTTGTTTTATACTATGTAGTGATAATCTGCAATTAAAAAATTAAGTTAACAACGAGACATGCATTTATGAGTGGGAGGTCACATTTAGTGAGAGGGTATTAAATTTAGGTGGGAAACAACTATATATTATTGATATAGTAAGAACTAAATTGAATTGTCTTAACTTAAGTATTATTTAGTCTTGCTCTGGTACACTGTTTTTGCACTGTGATGTAAAGAGACATGTGAAACTTTAGTTGAACTTTAGTCGAACTTTTTTTTACCTTAATTCATTAATGGTTTTAATTTTATTATACTTGATTCTTTCAATATAATTTAATTTAAATACTAATTGGTAATAAATTTATATTATTTCTATTAATATTATAATTATTTATTTTACACCATAAATAATTTAGATTTTATTATAAATAAATCACATATTTACAATTTCATATACATATGTATATTTTTACAATTTTAAAATATATGATTGTGCAACAGTTTGAATTTATGCTCATTATTGTTTGCTGTGTCCTCACCAAACTATATTTTCAGCCTCTGTGAATGTGTTACTGACGCAGCAAAGCTACCGGTATCATCTGTAAATCTTAAAGCACCGATTACGGGTATGGACAAGGTTCTATGCATAGGACTTAACTATAAAGATCACTGTGAAGAACAAAAACTGACGCCTCCTGAGGTTCCAATGATATTCAGCAAATTCGCTAGTACTGTTGTAGGCCCATCGGATAGCGTCCGGCTTAGAGTTGATGTTACTGATGTAAGTCCTGTTATTTAATATACCACTAACTCTCGTGCTTTAGAGTCTTTAGTCTCGGATTGACAAGGGTTTAAATCCGCCAAAATTTTATAATAGTAGAATGTTGGTGGCATGAATGACTTCTTTATAGCACGTGTCAGCCGATCTCTGCAAGCTGAATCAATGGTTGGCTGGGAATCGAATCCATGACATCCACGTAATTCATCTATGTACGTCATTATGGTTTAATTATCATTAAGACAATTTGCGACTTCGTGTGCGATTCATTAAATATTTATTGTATTTTCGTTCTCAATTACCATCTGCATGCAACGGTAGATGTGTTAATCCACAATTTTTATAAACTATGAATCAGAGCATATGACCCATGGTCCAATTGGGGTCAATTATTGAGGCAAATTGAGTCTCATTCATGTAGGTGGATGAAATAATTGCGTTTATGCGGGATGACGTCACCCTAATGCATGGACTGTTTATGGTCACTATATTTTCGTATTAGAGAGCAGGGTTAGCCATAAATTTAAGTATGCTGGTCTCAACAGTGAGGTTGAATTGAAATTCGAACTTCTACACCAATGAATTTATATATATGCGCATTGAGCGTAGGCATCAAAGGCTGATCACCTACTTGCTAATAAAGATCTGTAAAGGAAAGGAATTATCAACGGAAGAGACGAAGAATATGTCATATTCATAAATAATATTATTTCAATACCACACATTGCACTATAACGCACACCCAAGAAAAAATTACTTTTCCACGAAATTCAGATACTAAATTTGCAAAATTGCTGAAGTAAGATATGATTAATTAAATTAATGTATATAATTTCAAAATTAATTATTAATTAATTTGTCTTATAATATTACATTAAGTGAGCACAGAAGACATATTTGTTTATTGTAAAAATGTCTTCTTTCAAAACATTCCTCCACCATTATTCGAATATCCTTGAAAATTTTACGCGGGCCATAGTCGGACTGCATGTTGCAGTCAAGACCCACTGCAACATGCGGTTTGCTCAACTGCTAGCTCCATTATTGCGAATATGAGTTGTTGACAAAGTAGTAAATGCTTAGACGTCTCGTCCAATAGCTATAGCATTTTGTAAAGTAGAAATTCCTAAAGTTGCACATTTACTGTACGCACAAAACTTAGGTTAAACTCAATATTGAATACTTGCTGAAACTCAACCAAGCTAAAGAGTGACAACAGCTCATTATATTACAAACCTTCATTTGTTTTTTGAAGTTAGTTACAAATTACAGAAAGTGGACTGGGAGGTGGAATTAGTGGTAGTGATCGGGAAGCCAGCGAGTAACGTCAAAGCGAAGAATGCTTTTGAATATATCTTTGGGTACACAGTAGCTCAGGATATAAGCGCAAGGGATTGGCAGAAGACTAAGAATGGTGGGCAGTTTTTGCTAGGAAAGGTAAGATACACAATTAAAACTAGTTTTAAATAGAAGTCTTCGGCAAAATCAAATGATCTCCGTATCCTTGAAGGTTTGCTACTTCCTGAAATTATAAAAATAACAATATTTTGTAATGTTTAAATCTCATTTAAAATTTTCAACGTTTTGTTTAATGTATATATGTATATAAGCTCACTTTTTTGAGGTAAAATTTCTTAAGTTAAATTTATCTATCTATTAAACTTGATTAAAATCCTAGAGAAAAAAATCCGAAAAAGATTATGTATTTAATTTAGCCAGCTGAAGGTTTTCTTACTAAAATTTTACTGAATTGATTCAGTGATTTTTTATAAAATACTTGGTTCTTCTATATACATTCAATATCTATTATAACGATATCGAAGGGACTACTCATATTCGGTCGTAAAAACCGATAGTCATAACAGCCGATGTCGTTCTTATTAAGTACCTAACAACCCTCCCAAAGGCCGAGAACAAATTTAAATTAATTTAAAACTTGCCCTCGAACCGGGAATCGAACCCGGTCCCCTCACCTAGCTGCCACTTAATAAGACCGCTAGGCTATGAGGCCCCCAGTATGTTGTCTTAAAGTCTAAACGATGTCGTCGTAAACGGTTTTGACTGTATACAGTACTGAGTATTGGTCACCGTCAGTAAGACTTCGATATTTATATTCTTAGTTAGTTCTTTAACAATAAAAATGTATGATGTATGTACAGAACGCCTATTAAATCTTAGTTATTCTGATGCAAATATAAAACAAGACACAAATTTCAGTCAATGGACACATTCTGTCCTATTGGGCCGTGTATTACCACAAGTGATGAGATAACAGACCCTCAAAAACTAGAGATCAAATGCTCTGTTAATGGCGTACTTAAGCAATCGAGTTGCACAGATCAGTTGGTGCATAAGATACCTGATGTCATTGAGAGGCTATCATCGTAAGTATATATTAAGATGCCTTTACGCATAAATATCTATTCTTTTTCTAACTAAAGCACTCGCCTGTCTTTTTCTATCACATATAGGGTAGAGTTGCTTGTTTGATTACCGCGGAATTAGAAGTCTTAAGCCTTTTAATTAATACTTTAAATTTGTTTACCTTCAAACTAAGCAATGAAGATGATTCAACAGTTACAGAGAACAAAAAAGAAGGAACAAAAGAAGTCATGCTAATTGTTTTCATGGTATTGCTTCAGCGTTATTAGATTCACAGATTTATTCTTCATTCATCTGGTATGAACGAAGGTTTTCAGCTTACGAATTCTGTGAAAAAAAGTTACATAGGGCATCATATTTCCACACCAGTTCTATTATAAGCAGAGAGAAAATTTAAGTCTAATTGAAAGACAGTGGTTTACAGTGTAATCTCTTTATAACGAATTTCAAGGGACCGAGCATTTTTATTAGTAGGGTTCGTTATAGGGAGGAGAATTAATATATGGGTATTGAGTTAAACCACTTAAATTAAATTCAATTTTACGTTAAGAGAGTTATAAAGAGTTTACACTGTATTTAATCATGTAAGTTATGTACTGCAGCAGCGTTGAGCTTGTTATATCACTACTTATATAGAGGTTATAAAGAAATTGGAGACACTAAAAGTTTGTAGCCATGTTTTTTTAAGTCATGTACTATTTAAAAATAACATTCACTCCAATTTAACCAAACCTTTTCAGGGTAATGACTCTCCTACCGGGTGACATCATATTAACAGGCACTCCTGGGGGTGTGGGTATGTACCGATCACCCCCGGAATACCTTAAACCCGGTGACCTCGTAGAAAGCACCATCCAAGATATAGGGACTCTCCTGGTCAAAGTGGAAAAGTTTTAGAACTGCACTTTTTAAAAAGATAATGGAGAGAAGTACTTTTTACGGGAGTACTACGCTGTTACTTACATACACACACTACGAGCAAAAGAAGTTAAATTTTATGAATATGAATATATTTATAAGTTTTTTGTTGCTTTTTGTATAAAGTAACAGTTACAAAATAATATAGTGCAATAGTTATATTATTGGAGTATTTTATGGGTTCATTTCTGTAGTAAATACAATCTCTATAAGAAGACGACTCATTGGTCTAGTGGTTAGTACCCCTGACTGCGAATCCATGGGTCTCGGGTTCGATCCCCGGCTGAGACGAACATCAATGTGATGAGCATTTGGTGTTGTGCTTAGGTCTTGGATGTTTAAATATGTATTTATATGTCTATCTATCTATAATATGTATGTATATCCGTTGCCTAGTACCCATAACACAAGCTTCACCAGCTTAGCATGGGGCTATCCCCATGCTAAGCTGGTGAAGCCTTTTCATTGTGAAGCATTGACCTATGTCAATTGGTGTAAATTGTCTTAAAAAAAAAAAGTCAATATTTTTACATAAATTGTATAGAAATCGCATATGTAAATGATTGTAATTATTATCATGCTTTTATAGTACTAGAATTAGACTCCAGGGTATATTTATCATTTATAAAGAATTGTTTAAGTTTATCCACATTTTTATTTGTCATTATTAAATGATTTTTATTATTATAAACATTGGTTTTATCATTGTTTATTATATTATTGTACTCATTTATCCGAGTATTTTTATAGAACATTGTTATCAAAGACGTTAATTAAGCCATTCAAATCGGGAAGTAAATTCGAGTTCGAAAGCCTCTTGTGAATATGAAGCCCTCAGAACCAGTGTTAACTGACATATCTATACTAATATTATAAAGAGGAAAAATTTGTATGTAACGAATACTTGTTTGTAACGAATTGGCTCAAAAACTACTGGACCGATATTAGAAATTCTTTCACCATTTGAATGCTACTTTATCACTGATTAATTTAGGCTACTTTAATTGCGAAAAAAAATAAAAGTCCCTACTAAAACTACAGTACTGGTACCCACGGTGTAAAAAATGCCTATAAAATATCTTTCATCGCATGCTCTGCGAAAACAACAAACAACTATTATTGATGATAGAATAAAAAAATGTTTGACAATATTGAAGAACATATAAAATATCTACAAAAAATGTTTAAAAATAAATGTTCACCCGAGCGAAGCCGGGACGGGCCGCTAGTATTACTATAAAAAGGAAGGTTAATAATAAAAATGTCAAAAAAAATACCGAGTATATTGGTGAAAATTTGATAGTTTTTATATATTTTTGAAGTTATACTTCTTTAGGCGCGTTATGAAAAATTTATGAGAGTTAAATTTTACGATGTGCGCACACCGTGACACAAAAGATGCTACGGCATTGGACATAATTTAAAAACAACATGCGAATAATAATAGAATTTATGTTACACTTAATGTAAGAGAATAATAATAAATATTTACTTATTTAATTTAGGTTTAAAGACATTTATTTTCTCATTACAGACAATGGTCACTTACATGAGACTTATAGACTAAAAATACAATTTATCACGTCGTGTTTAAGCGTCAAGGATCAATCATCGAAGTATAATTTTGGTGGACTGTCATTTGCGTAGGTAATTAGGATCACTCAGAAGATGGTCTTTTAGTTTAAGTTTGAATATCGCCAGGCTGTCTGCACTTTTTATATTTTGTGGTAGTCTATTGTAACGCAACACTCCCCCAACGCTCAATGTTTTTCTACCGTTATTAGTTCTAAACTTCGGTATAACAAGATTGTGAGGGCGTCGTGAAGTGCGCTTCTGAATTTGGCTTATTTTAGTAAAGGTAATGTTAGTATGTATGTGGTCGTTTAGAATTTTGTATATTAGTAAGCTGGTGTTATATTGGAATAATTGTTTAATATTCATGAGTTTTGTTTCACTGTAAATTTTTTGTGTAGAAGTTAAGTATGGGTAATGAAAAAGCAATTTAATTACTTTATTTTGAGCAATTTGAAGGTGAGAAATATTAGTTTTAGTCGCGGCTCCCCAAATTTCAATAAGGTAAAGAAGGTGTGATTTTGCCAAAGAATTATAAATATGAAGACGAACTTCACGAGGAAGGCTTCGAACTATGTGTCTAAGGGAACCTCTTAAAGAAGATAATTTAGTTATTAAATGATTTATGTGCGTTGTCCATGTTAAGTTATTGTCAATATATAATCCAAGATATTTTTCACTTTTCTTTTCAATTAGTGGTACATTATTTATTGTTATAGGCGAATGTGGTGGGATTTTAACATTTTTAGGTTTAAAAATTAAGTACGATGTTTTAGCAGTGTTGATAGTTAGCAATTTCGATTGAAACCACAAGTAAAGATAGTCAAGGTCCTTTTGCACTCGAGAAATTATATCAAGCACAGATGAACCAGTGTATAGGAGACAGGTATCATCCGCATACAAGGTTATCTGTCCATGCAAGTTAAGGTGTTGTATGTCATTTAAATAAATTAAAAACAATAATGGGCCCAATATTGATCCCTGTGGTACTCCACAAGAGATAGGTAAGAGTTTACTTTGACAATCATTAATTTTAACTACTTGGGATCTATTGTTTAAATATGATTTGAACATTTTTAAGGCATTGCCAGTTATTCCAATCGTTTCCAGCTTTTCTACGAGAAGCGAGTGGCAAACTGTGTCGAAAGCTTTCATTATATCAATGAATACTACAAGGACAATTTTCCTTTGGTCGGTATTAGTTTTAATTTTTGTAATGAGATTAATTGTAGCTGATAATGTATTAGATTTTGATCTAAATCCATATTGGTGTTCGTATAAAAAGTTTATATTATTTAGGTGGTCTAATAAGCGCGTGTATAAAACTCTTTCTAATATCTTGGACATAACCGGCAATACCGAGATGGGTCTGTAGTTACCTGGATCATCTCTGGGCCCAGATTTGTATATTGGACTGACCTTGGCGATCTTTAAGTTATCAGGGAACTTGCCGTCCCTGAGTAATTCGTTAAGACAGGACGTTAAGTTATCAAGAATCTGACTTTTAATACATTTAATGATTTTGGTTGTGATGCCATCTATACCTGAACTACAGTTTGGGTCAAGATTGTTAATAATTTGGGAAATTTCCTGAGCTGTACACGGTCTAAGAATATTTAAAATAATTTGTATGTTGTTATTTGGTACGGTTAGATTGAAATTGTTTTGTTTATTACGTAGATGATTAGTGAGATTTAACCCAATAGTAGAAAAGAAATTATTAAAAGACTCACAAATGAGAATGGGATCAGTTATTATATATGAATTAACATTCAGCTTTGTGGGAGCAATGGTATCTTTCTTTTTGTTAGCGGCAAGTTCTTTCAATAGACTCCACATTTTCTTTGGATTTGTGCATTTTAGAAATTGGCTGTAATAATAACTATCCTTAGTTTTCTTAATAACTTTTGTTACAGACTCTTTTATTTTATGGAATTCATTTTCTATACGAGAATTGTCTCTGTTATTTTTGTATTTCTTCCACAGGTCATTCCTATCATTTATAATATTAATTATTTCCTTATTAATCCAGTCATTTCGTGGAGCATTTAAAATTTTTGTCTTTGTTATTTTGTTGTTTTTAACGTTTTGCTTTATTAAGTCATCAAGAACTGTGTATTCAAAACCTGGATTCTTAATGTTGACATCTGCTATACTTTTGAATAAATTTTCATAATTTATAGCGTCATATTGAATTCGCTGCTTCGGAGTTGGTTTAATTTTTTTTTAATTGCAAATAAATCTGTTTGTGGTCAGCCATAGGTAAATCCAATATTGATAAGTGAAAGTTGTCATTTAGTAAATCTGTACTGACATGATCAATTATTGTCTTTGATGTATGGGTTTCTCTAGTACAATACATCGGGTCAATTTTACTCAATAGCTTGTGACCTTGTCCCTGAAGCAGATTCTTGTATAAAGTGGTATTTCTGTTTCTAGTAAGTAAGTCTATATTAAAATCACCAAAAACGATGATACGGTTTCGTTTCTATAACTGTGCTTCATATGTATCTATAAATTTTTTATAATTAGTATTACCAGGGTTATATATAAGTCCAATTTCAAGAGAATAGTTCACAAGTGTTACCCATAAGTAATTATTCCCATCTATGAATGTAGATTCACTTAAGATATGTTTTAAATCATTGTGTATAAAAATGGAAACACCTCCACCTGTTTTATTTTTCAAATGTAAACTGAACTTTACTGACTATAATGACTCCTTTTCAGTCTGATTTATTTTTTTATTCTGAATTAATTGTAATTAATTATTTGCATGCCATCAAAAACTATTTTTAATAATGCCAAAGAAGTATAACTTCTTACGCGCGTACATAAGTACACGCACCCTTTTGTTTATTCATTAATCGATTAAAAAAAGACACACATTAACACTACATTACAAACAAACCATTCCTTTGACGGTTTTACTGACTACTGTATATCTCATCTTCTCAAAATTTTGTTGCATATTGCTTTATAGTAGACAATTATTCATAAATCGGGGAACCAAATACGCGGGTATCTGTATATAGACATTACCACAAGAGTACATAAAATACGTTGTAATAGAAAATAGATCTTTCAAATAAAATACATTTATTAAACATCGTTGGAGTTGTCAATAACTGAATATTTGACGTAACTGTTGTATAGAGTTCAGGCTAAGGTCTGGATGTTATGTTATGGATGTGATTATTAAGTTAAGTTACGTCTGCCGATCGCCGCTCCTGAACAGCCTATAATCGAGTGGGTTGTTGGTATTTTAAAGAGGGCAACAGAGACAGAAAAGCAATTACCACTCGCATCACATTGAATAATAACTTACTATAGTTCTAAATTATTATTCTGACAGAGAAAGCAAGACAGGTGGGACCATAGCAAGTAGAGGTCTGTGGCTTCTGTCT